AGATGGCAAAGACTGCTCATCATGTGCAGTCTGTCTGTCCATCATCTTACTGCTGTCCTCCCCAGACAAGAATGTCTGCACCCAAGGACCCCAGATGGAACTCTGAGGAAGACAGTCCCATAGGAGGTGGCTCTTGAATAAAACTGATTGGCTTTCAAGTGATACCCAGCAGGCAAGAGTCTGGCAGTATGACCCCAGGACTTAGAAAGCAGGGAGTCCCAGACAGGACAGAGCAGCAACCGGGACCCCTGTCGGTGGAATATCTGAGGGCATGGGCTATCTATGGATTGAAGCCTTCCTGGTGACATGACATCTTGACAAGGGCAAACTGTTTCTCTGGGATAAACTCACTGCCACTCCCCCAAAGAAGGCTCCAGAATGGTACTACTTGCAGCACAGCACTTATAGAACTGGGAAGAAAGCACTTAATGTCTCATGCCTCTCAAGATGCCATTGTTACTCCTGCTTTAAAACTAAAGGAAACCAGGGGAGCAGGGTGCTTAACACACCCATCCAAATTCACACAGCTGCAGGCGCTGAGACGGAACCAGGCCGACCCAGAGCCCACACAGAGCCCACACTCCTAACCACCTACCTGAGTGGGCAATAGAGAAGGTCTGGGGCAGAATAGGATGAAGCCCACTTCTCCTGAGCCTTAGCAACCTGTGGCTATTCCCTCACTCCCCACAGCGCCTCTTGGAGATTCAAGTATCTTCATCCTCACCTTACTGCCAATGAGACTCAGAGCAACTCTTAGCAACTTGCCAAACATAGCAGCTCCTATTTGTAACCTCAGCACTTGGGAGGCTAAGGTGAGAAGACCATGAGTTTGAGGCCAGCCTTGGCTACATAGGAATACCCTGTGTGAAAAAGCAAAAGGAAGAGCAAGATTGAAGAGGAGGAGGGGAAAGGGGGAAAGGGGACAGGATGGCAGAGGGGGGTAGGAGAGCACAGTGCCACATGCTCAAGGTTACTCTTCCAGGATCTGAACTTAGTTAAGATTCAAGCACCCCTGAGTACCAAGCAGGGCTTACTGAGGACTCACAAAGGTGCAGCGTGCTGATTGTACATTTGTAGCCCATACTGTCCTGTGTTCTAGCAACAAATCTGACAAGAGATGGGTCTGGTTCTTTCCACTCACAGGCAGGGAAGCTGAAGCCCAGAGTAGCTATGATCTTTGGCAGTGTTAACAACATGAGTCTCTGGTGTTCACCCACTTTCTGCCTCAGGAATTGAGAATCCAAGCAGATATTGCTGGAAGGAGGAGGGCAGAGGCCCGGGGGACAGAAGGGTAAGATGAAGAGGCAGTAAGGAGAGTTTTTCATCTCATCACTTTGGAGTCAAAGTGGCCCTGAAACGGGGAAGGCAGGCCAAAGCTATTAGCCACAGAACCATGGACTCATCAGGGGACTGGGAGAGCCAGTCCCTCATCCCCAGCACATCTCCCATCAGTGCAGAGAGGACGGCCTGCTGAGGTCGGATGCTCGGCCAGCTTCTCAGCACTAAGCTCTCAGTGCCTGCCTGGAACTGTACTCCACACATCACCAAGGGCAGTACCAGCCCAGGAGCCTGGTGCCCAACCACGCTAGCCTTGCTGCCAACACAGATCGGACTAGTCGGGGGCAAGCTGACTTGTTCCAGTGTCCAGCTCCCCCATGGGCCTTGGAGATAAGAAGTGACGTCTCTGACTCTGGTATGCCTGTCCATCCGATGGGAGCCAAAAAGACAAATGCTACCTTCCCATGATTCAAGCGCTATTCTGAGTGTTTTCATGTTAACTCTGTGATGCTCGGAGCAGCCCCCCTCAAGATACGGTTAAAGATGAGGAAACAGAGGCATATGCCCAAGGCCACACAACAAGAAAGGGATACAGCCAAGTCCTCTTTGAGCAAGTCTGCCTGAATCCCATCACTAAATGTATGAGCTTGCCAGGGTCAGGGCATGGGTACATGCCCTTCTACAACAAGCTTAGGACCCAGACAAGGACCTTCTTGCCTCCCACGAGAGGCAGAAAACAACAGTGAGACATGGTGCCCCAAAGATTTGGATCCCTCTGCAGGGAAGCCTCCTCACCCCCACTCCTTGTCTCTAAAGTAAGCACTGAGACCAGCACGGAAGGTTCAGGATTGTTCTAATCCAGGCTGGGCTTCCAGGGAACCTGGAGAATTCAGAGTACATGGGGACCCCAACAGTGTCTCAGACCACCTCACGCCAGGCAGGCCAGTGATTAGCAGCAGGCTACCCTTAGTCCCTCTTCTTAGCAGCTCAGGCCTGACCTCAGAATCTTACAGGCTCCCCAGGGGCCCCCAGCAACTCCAGATGGAACTGGAGGTCCAGAGCCTGGAACGGGGACAAGCTCTCAGCCGAGCAAGGGATGGCTTGCCAGCGCTCCACCCACTGCATCTGAGAGGCCCCTTTGTGCCAGCCCTACCCCACCCCCTATTTGCCATCTGCCAGGTCCCTGGAGGCTGGTCACCCTCGGCTGCTGGGTGCACTCACATGATGCCCCCATCTGATGTGAGTCAGAAAGTAGGGCCACCCTGAGGACCTCCACCCTGAGGGGGAGGGTGCAACACCGAGGTTTGTGTCCTGTGTTGTCACACATGCCCCAAGCTCCCCACTAGCACCTCTAATGTTGTCACACATTCCCCCCAACCTCCCCACCAACACCTCTAACACCCTTATCAGGGCCCTGCCCCTTCCCCTACTGACTAGAAGCTCATCCTGCATCCTGAATCCCAATGAGGCCTCAGCATCCACTGGCAGGAGATCATCCACAGTGGCCCCCTTTATGGCTGTCCTGTCCATGTCTCTTCCTTGTCTATGCAGAATCCTAATAAGCAGGCCATCCCCACAGAACCCTCTATCCCCGTCATAACTCTGCCTGCTCTCTTCATTTCTCTTCCTTGTTGAACTATCAATTCCACTTTTTTTCCCTTAGCCAGGAAGCCACCCCTAAGCCTGACACTCAACAGAGCAGCCAGGGGCTGAGCCACCAGGTCAGAGCTACAGCACTCATCCTCTGACCCGCTCACCCTGCTGCCCGGTCCTCTCACCGTCGCTTCCCACTGCACAGGAGATAGAGACTCTCTGGCGTGACCCTCTGGTATGCCAAAGTGTCAGGCTTCAGTTCTGTGGCTGGCCCCATGCCTCTGAGCTTTCATTGTTCCCCCCTAATTCTCCCCATATTATAGTCTCTGCCATGAACATTCCACCCTTCTAGGCCCGGACACCACCCCTCCCTCTTCCCTTCTGCCCACTTTAAGGCCAGACTCACTCTCCTCCTTTCTCACGGTCCCACAGCTCCTGCTGTCTCCTCCCGCTCTGCAATCAGACCTCCTCAGCAGCCTGCCTCTAACAGGATGGCAATGCCACATACAACCTCCTAACCAAAGGTTGTACCAGGAGGGAGAATCCCCCTGCCCCGGATTCTAGGAGCCAAGTCCTCAGGCCACATGGAGGGTCACCCTCATGCCAATTTAGCAGCCCAGAGAGAGGCCGGTTGAAGTGATTTTGACCAAGGTGGGATGCATCTCAAGTTCCTGGGGGCTCTAATAGCAAAAGGAGATAAAAGTCTGGCCCCAAAAGCTAGTACAGACTCTGAACAAGGCAGGGAAGACCACATAGGACTCTAGCCTGCACTCTGGGTACCCTTTGGCAGCCTGCAGCTCCCAATGACCAGAGCTTGTCCTGTCAGCGGTCTCCAACTCCTGGGTGAGTGGGGAGGCTGCAGGGAGGGAGCCGTCTGCAAGTTCCCACTGACTTTATTTGCCTCATTCCTCACTGTGCAATGGGGAGGACAACAGGGAACAGCACACAGTAGGCACTTAACGCTTAAAAACAGCAACCTCCCCTGGCCTTCTTTTTTTTTTTTTTAACTTTTTTTTTTTTTTTTTTGGCTTTTCAAGACAGGGTTTCTCTGTGTAGCCCTGGCTGTCCTGGAACTCACTCTGTAGACCAGGCTGGCCTCAAACTCAGAAATCCGCCTGCCTCTGCCTCCCAAATGCTGGGATTAAAGGCGTGCGCCACCACCGCCCGGCTTCCCCTTACCTTCTGAAGTAGGCACAGGATTTCTCCACCCATGTCGCCCACCCCATGCCACGGTGGCCCAGGTGGAAAAAGGGTTCTGCCTCTATTCACCCCACCCCCTCAGTAAAATGAGCCCCTTAGAGGCCCTAACGGTCACCACACACAGATGGCTGGTTGGAGAGTGGGGAAAACAGGAACCCTGCCCCCATTTCCTACACCAGGGGAAGGGGACTGAGGTCCTATCAGGCCCAAGCAGCTGGGGGCCCCCGAGGTCTTGTGGTTAGTGGGTAAGGAACTCTTGGCACCTTGGCCTCCCGTCCCAGGACCCTCATTCCAGCTGCCTCCTGTTCAGACCAATGTTGCACTGTGCCTTCATTCCTTGATCAAAAGTTGTTAGACTGTCCTGGTTCTCTAGGGGACCCTGTCCTAAGGGAATCTATAGGGGAGGCCACTGTCAGGGGCACCATGCTCAGTCTACCACAGTGCCCTCTTCTGAAGCCTGGCTCTCCCGTCTCTGGTCTTGCTGTGTGACCTCAGACAAGCTGCCTGCCCACTCAGAGTCTCCCTACTCCCACGGGGCTTCTTTGTAGCCCAGGCAGGTCTTGAACTTGAGAGCCTCCTATCTCTACTTCCCTAAATACTGGGATTACAGGTGAACGTCACAGCCTAATGAGAACAACCAGTCTATCAAAAGACATAGAGCGCTGACGCCACACTGCTGGGCTCAAGACTGTTCTATAGCAGTGGAGGCTTGGTTTCCCAAATACCCAACAACTAATGGTTCCAAAAGTTCTGGTCCTTCTGACCCCATTCTCTTTCAAGGCAGCTCTCAGCTTACACACATCTCTACCCCTGTAGCATACTAACACCCCCCCCCGCCCCCAGATCCCTTTCCATTCTACACTCTCTGCTTAGCAGCCACATGTCCCCCCCCATCTCCTCCCACCCACTGGCTGCCCTTCATCCGGTACCTGGTGCCAGGTGGTGGGTTCTAGAAGGAACCAGGCAGCTGGACCACCTTTGAGGATTCACCTCCAATGCTGAATCTTGCAGTCTGGGTCTCTGGTAAGAGTGTGTTCAAGAGCTAGCAAGTGCACTGGCTGGGGGTGGGGGAGGCTTTGGGGAGGCTCCTACCAGCCAAGAGCCCCTTTCCTATAGTAGAGACCAGGCGGCAGCCTGTGTGGAGCCGGAGAACCCGGAGGACCGGGGGAGGGCCGGGACTCCCTCCTTGCCTAGCTCAGCTCCTCCCTTCAGGCTGGCGATGAGATGACTGCCTAACTGTGAGTCATGGCTTTCTCAGAGGGAGGCAGGAGGAGGCAGGGCTGACTGACAGAGGTGAGGCGGGGACCCTGGGGGATGCCCATGACTCAGGCCTGGCAAGCGGGGACCTGGGTCTCTCCTCTCATCATCCTAGCACCCTGGTGCCAGTTTCAAAAATGGGTATGAGCTGGGATGAGTGTGTCACCTCGCATACACACCCCCATTATTAAGTCCCCGGAGGCTGCTCCCCTGAAGTTCTTTCAAAGAAACCAGTTTGCCATGGCAACAGGCTACTCAGATGCTGCTACCCCCTCCTCCAGGCCCAGACAGCCAACAACTACCCCTTCCTGAAGGACAGTCTAACCTCCGTGGCAGCAGGCAGAGCCAGCGCTGACTGGCAGAGCGGAAGGCACTCCAAGAGGAAGGGGGTGTCAGGCCGCCTGGCTGGTGGCCATACTTGGCTGACTGCTGACCCAGGTCTCTGAGCGTCTTCCCAGCAGGGAGCCAGACCATTCTCCCTCAGTCTCAACCTTTCAAAAATCACATCCTGGACCCTAAGACCCCAGGGACTTCTGGAAATAGCCTTTTTAAAGTCTGTCAGCTGAGCCAAATGGGAAACTGAGGCCCAGGTAAAAAGCCTTTCCAAAACCTCAGAAAAAGCAATTTGGAAATGGGCCAACCCCATCATGCCCACTCTGGCTGCTAACTGTTGGCTGTTCTGGTTGAGGTTCACTGGTCCTGCACAGCCGGGGGGGGGGGGGCAACGGCGTGGAGCGGGAAGTGGTTTGGGATAAGCATGGCCCTCCAGAGTGAAGGCTCCTGTCTTTGCTCTCCCATACTCCTCCTCCCATACCGTGTGAGCAAACTGAAGCGCCATGAGGATTTCACAACCTAATGAGGGCAAGTGGCAACAATAATAATAATGGCGGTAACAGAATAACAGCAATCACACAGGCTGTGTTCCAGGCTTCCCTCCTCCCTGCCTCCCAGCACCTGCCCAGACAATTAGTGAGTCTCAAGGAATTCTCCAGGAATGTGGTAATGAAGAAGGAAGAGGATAAGGCAGAGAGAGAGAGAGAGAGAGAGAGAGAGAGAGAGAGAGAGAGAGAGAAGATGCTCAGGGAAGGTAGTTAACTTCTTCAAGGTCTCATAGCTGAGAAAGTAGAGGGATCAGGCAGGAGCCCAGTGGCCCACTGCACACCACCGCCACCACAACACGAGATGAGACATCAGAGACGACCAGCGACTTATCCAAGGCCACACAGCTAAGATGCAGCTGGGTCTCTGACTCTCAGCAAACATCCAGCAGGTACAGGCCCTTGTGATCTCCACCATGTCTCCACCATACAGAAGAGGCCCATGTATAGAGGAGGCAAGGGGCTCTCAGCCATACCCTTCAAAGGCTGGGTACAGACCAAATGGCTCCAAAGCCCTGGCTGGATACTGGAGAAGACAGGAAGTTCAAGAAAAAGAGACCCTCAGAAGAGCCTTCTAGGGGGACACCATCAGGGATGGAGAGATAGGGAGAGCTAATTTTGAAGGAAATGGGGCCAGATAGTAGAGGATTTTGAATGAATGGAACTAGAGGGCTAATCCAAGGCACAGGGAGGCTCTCAGAAGGAGTTTGAGCACAGGAAGGATACCTGTGCTCGGCGCTCAAATGATGAAAATTTACCAGAAACCTCAGATTTCAGATGTGCCCCAGATCCGTCCCATAAGAAGCTAAAATTTAATAGGACTCCCAGGTGGTTATCATGTTTGGCAAAGCTTAAGTAGACCTGTCTCTCCTCTAAGGACTTGACTGGGTGGGTGTGATGTGAGAAGTGTGGACAGGCCGGGGAGGGGCTCCGGCCAGGGCCTTGAAGATGGAGACAGAGGAAAGCTGAGGTGAAGACTCTCATCCAAAAGACCAGCATCAAGGCTAGGGAGAGCCAAACAGGGAAAAGGGAGGTATCAAAAGCATCCCTGATATGTATAGGCAGGGGTGGGGTGCAGATCAGATCTGGGAGTCGAGAAAAGGCTGTCCTAAAGCACGGTTGGTCGGATGCAAGTGGATCTGTAGCGTTAGGAAACATGTCCTCTCTGGTTCCCATGGCTACCGGAAGCACAATGCCAGGGCTCAGCCAGCTAACGGCAGCTCCACAGGGAGGGTTGTGGGATCACAGGCTGGCGACAGAGCCAGCATGGGGTGGGGAGCACAGGAAGCTGATGGGTGCCCCTTCTTTATAAGAAACGGAAGAGAGACAATACTGATGCTGATCCCTGGCCAACTGGCTACAGCAGACTCAGCCAGCTGGTGACTTGGGCAAGCATCTCTACCCAGCCACCCCTCGGCTGTCAGACGAAGACAAAAATACAGCACCTGCTCCTTGGGCACTAAGGAGAGACCTTCAGGGACACACAAACCCCGGGATACAGATAAGAAAGCAACATGGAGTGCTGCTCGCTGGGGCTGCTGCCTGAGGCAAGGCCTGGGCACAGAAGATGGAGTATACGGCTGGTGGACTTCAAGGCGTCTGCAGGCCTCAGTCTCTTTCTCCCATCCAAGTACTAACCAGGGCCAACCCTGCTTAGCTTCTGAGATCAGACACGATCAGGCACATTCAGGGTGGTATGGCTGTAGACCTTCAATCTCTGTCTAATCTGCCTGATAGAGCAGGTTACACAAGCCAGTCTTGTCAAGGGGCCTGGAAACCCACTGCCTGATCAGAGGTGGGTTTTTAGCTTTACACAAAGAGTTCGAGTATAGGCGTCTCTTGCAAGCTCGGTGTCCTTGTATATTTTAGAGCACAATACCCAGCACACTGATGCTAACAGGAACACAAGGGCACAAAGCTCCAGCTTGTGAGCATCCAGTGTCCCTTCTATACAATAGGAATGCCTGGTCCATTTTCCAGAGATAGAAACTGAGGCACAGAAAGGGGACCTTCTCAAAGCCACCCCACAGTCCTGTAGCCCCTAACACAGAAGATGTGCTAGGGCTGTGCTCCTAGCCACCTCCCTTCTCCCTTCATTCCCGTGGGAAAGCCTCCTGCCCACAAGCGTGGGGGAAGCCACAGCCCCGTGATAACACCACCTCCCGTCACATTGCCCCAGGGTCCAGCAGGGATGGGGGTGGGGGGTGTCCATGTGACTCGGCCACACTTACAAAGGCAGCTGTGTGCCAGTGCCCGGGACAGCCTTCCCCATTGGGGGGCATCCCCTTCCCCTAGCAGGGGAGGAGTAGGAAAATATGGCTGGTCCAAGAGAGGAAACAGGGGCCTCTCTCAGCCATTAAAGTGGGCTGGAATCATAGGGATTCAAGCCTGGGCTTGGGGTTCAAGGACATCATACCAGATAAAGTGGAATAAAGTCCCAGGCCAGGATGTGAACTGAGTCCGCCCAAGTCAAGTTTGCCTGTTTTCTGAGACCTTATTTGGAGTCCATTCTAGGTCCTTGGGGATGGAGCCAAGCAGGTGCCACGCCTACATTTACCTGCCTCAATTTTCCAAAGCCTTAGGGTTGTGGTCTGGGGAGAGTCACACCTCCCAGATGCTAGCAGAAATTCTTTAATTCCCTCCTGGCCACAGCACTGTCCCTCTTCGCCCTTTGCTCTAAATAGCAGTGGTACATTTGCCATATGCCATAAGTGGCTGGTGTTTTCTCCTACAGCCCTGCCAAGGGGCCTCTGTTTACACTAGGAGAAGGAAGGAGACCCTTAGCCTAGTGTCATGGCTGGAACCAGGGTTTGGCTTTCAAGCCAGTTCCTTCCCCCAGGTCTCTCTTTCTGGTCCCAATGATGTTTGATCGCATGCCAACAAGAAACGGCCTTAGTCCCTGGCATGAGCACATCATAACCTTTCTCTCTGTGCTCACCTCGTCCCTGCCTGCCGGGAAAGGCCAATCCAGTGTCTTGTTCCCTAGCCAAGTTCATGCTGGCTGCCTCCAAGTCCACCCCCCACTGACTGCCCTCGGAGGTGGGCATGCCTGGGTGCCCAGCTACCTGAGACAGGCAAACTGGATAAGAACTCCCTGTTCATGTTGTGGCATGACGGAATGTCTAACCCTCAGCTTAGCCACCCCCACTCCAAGAGCCCTCTAGCAGGAGGGCTGGATCCAGCCAGATCTTGCTCAGAGAGTCAAACTGTCCATACCCCTACCTCTCAGCATTCAGAAGCCCCTGAGCTCAGGAGAAAGACGAGCACCCTGAACAAGTCCTCACTAATCCTGTCACAAGTCTGATACCTGTCCTTCAGGATCCAGAGGCTTGGGGTCCTCCTGTGAGACCTTACCTATCTCTGAACAGACGTTCCCTCTGCAGCCCAGGTGATCAGGAGGAGTTGTCATGATGAGGTCTTCCTGCCCTGCCTCTTCAGGGTGTGACTCTCTGACCTGTACTTTGCTCTGAAGCAGCCTGGCCCAGGGGAGCCACTGATTGAGGCTCCAAGCCATTCTCCTCAATGCCCCCAAAGCCATCCATAACTGCCTTGGGAGTCTAGCATTAAGTTGCTGGGCTTTGATCTTTCTGTGCCTCAGTGTCCTCATGTGTAAAATGGGCATGGCACCCTCCTGACCACTGAGTTTGTTCTTAAGCATGTATTGAAGTATTTGCATGTTTATGTGTACATGTGGGTGGAAGCCAGAAGTCAACTCCAGTATGTGTGTCTTCCTCCATCTTATATTCTAAATGTTTTAGGAATTAGGTTTAGTGTGTGTGTGAGTGTGTGTGTGTGTGTGCGAGCGCCTGTGCACGCAGGTGCTCATGCATGCACGCAGGCAGGCAGGTAACAGTGCTACCACATGCCTGCCTGTGGAGGTCAAAAGAAAACGAACAGAAGCTGGTTCTCTCCTTGCCTCATGTGGGACCCAGAGATCTAATTCAGGCCATCAGACTTGAAGGAAAGTCCTTTAGCCTAAATACCTTGCTGACCCCTCAAATTCCTTTTTGAGACAGAGTATCTCACGGAACCTAGAGCTCTCTGATTCAGCTAGATTTGCTGGACAGCG